CTGGGAGCACTGCCACCGCTTCCTGATCAGTGACTTTTGCCACGGGGGAGCTCCCACTGTCGACAAGATTGGCCATGGGGGGACCCCCACCCTGGTCATCAACTGGTTGCTTGGGGGGAGGGGGTACATGCCCCCCCGGACTAAGGTGGCACCAGTCGCCCATTCATGTCAGGGTTGATCCTCCAGCCAGGGTACTAGAGAGCTGATTTACATTGTTGTGCCAGAACAATAAGCAGAATTGGCCTGTGGGCCCCTCGTACATTGCCCCCTACACTGCATGTTGTTTTGTTGTGTTACTGGCACATTTTCCCCACAAGTATGAGGGTAGAATTTGAGTCTATTGAACTGCTTCACTGAAATTTTCCCTCACAAATTAGCTAATTTAGCCTTTAAAAAAATAGTGCCTTTTAAGCATTTGATCTTTTCTGTTCAAGGCCAGATATTTCAACTATGCAGTGAAAAAAATCTAATTAGATTTTTCACTTTTTCCCCTACAGTACCAAATTCCATTATCCCATTCACTGCAGTGCTGCTTGAAAATTCCTTGGGGGGAATAATTCAAAGGCCTTATCTTTCCTTCTTCTGCACCTCTTGAAAGTCACATAACTTCCTATCTGATGCTTCACTGCTGATAACTCTGACATAGTCTTATTATGTAGTAATGTTCTAAATTTATTGGATTACCTGGTAGAAAATCTTATTTGTTCGTAACAAAGCACCTGATTGTGACTTGCCTACTATTGGAAAATGTCTAGTATGTATTGTGTTCAGCATTTGTACAGGAGCTATTGATTTAGACGTTTTAAAAAGTATGAAGCACTGTTCTGTGCCATGCATGAATCAGCCACAGTACAAAATAGCGTTGGGCACCTTCACTGAGCTGAGTTGCACTCATCCACAGATCAACTGCCAGTATGACCCTCAGACCAAAGGAGGAGAAGGCACTGCAGACATGCACCTGGAAGAAGCCTCCGCGCTACCAGTGAGCCTAGCATAAGCAAGAGGTCACTGTTTTATGAGTGTGCTAAGGTGTTACATGCTCCTCTTGGTAGAAGGTGAAAGAGTGGATTAGGTGCCAAACAGGAATTAAGTCCTTATTTATCTACAGGTCAGTGAGGGCTAAATTCAGAGGGCACAGAAGTCAATGGAATGACTCCACTGACTTCATTAGGGTTTGGATCAGATTTGCAGAAATTATCAAGGCTCCTTTATGTTTTATTTTTCATTTAAAAGCTCTTCACTCTTCCCAGCCTTTGAGTCCAGTTGCCTACTGTCACAGTCAAACAAAATGATTGATCCCCATCTTAAACGTAATTTTTTTGGCAGATTATGAGGCTATTCCAGAACGTCACTCCTTTTTTGAATTTTACATGGCTTAATCACGTTGATGTCCCATATCCTATGACTAATTAGTATACATAGGTCCTTCTGTGCAGTCATTTTCAAGTGCAGTTCCAAGCCTTATACAGAATAGCTGCTTTTCAGGAAAGAGCATAAGGCAGCTAATGTACAATTTTATTTCCATAATAAGCCTACAATTAGAGGAATATCCAGCTTCAAAGGGACAGATTAGGACTAGGTAAAGATAAGAATTTTCTACCAATTCGAAGTGCACTGGAGAGATGGTTCCTGAATGATGACATCCTATAGAAAGAGAGGTGTGTACCTTAACAGAAAGAATTGATTGACCCACAGGAGAGACCTAAAATGTAGTTGAATGGATTTGTCCAGTGGAGAATTAATGTACAGGTTCAAAAATGAGTTTTATTAATCTCTCACTGTAAAAATTAAGATTTTAAACGGGTGTCAGTGACACATCAGGTCCAAAGGAATGTCCAACTGGTGGTCCACTAGGCTTTAATTTGCAGCCCCTAGGCTCCCATTTGTCCATCACTCTTCTCAGGCTTCACTGCCTCCCCAGCTTCTGCTTCTTGCCCCTCCCCATGTGTGTTGGTGTGGGAAGCTGACCGTGAGTCTGGGACATCTTGCACACATGGTATAGTGGTGCGGTAGAGCAGTGCAGAGGGGGGCGGGGGGCCCAAGACAGGTGCATGGTGCAGTGGTGGTGTGCTATTGAGAGAGTTTCCAGCAATTGTGGGGGTGAGGAGGGCATCTGCATAGTGTGCAGTCTGGAGAAATGTGGTTTGCACTGATGTGGCATGTAGTTGTGCTGCCCCTGCTGGGTGTGACTTATAGGGCATTTGGCCTGCAATTGCTTAGAATTTGGACAGCCCTGGCTTAAATCATGGTGCCTGGTTGTCCTAGGCCCAGCTGAGGGTGACCCAGTTTCAGGCTGTAGGTGGAAGTAGTTAGGTTTTAGTCTGAGTCATCCCCCAGGGCTACAGGAAGAGAACCTCTCCTACACCGGTCTCTATAAGCCTGAAGCAAACAGCAGCAAGCTGTCTGGGTAAAGACTGCCAAGATGTGCTCAAATTACATTTAGCTTTGGTTTTGGCTCTCAGCCTTGGCTTCTGTCTCAGGCCCTGATGCTGATTCTTCAACCCTGACTTTGTCTCCTGATCTTAGCTCCTGGCTCTGATTCTCCAACCCCAACTCTTTTATTTCAGCTTCTGACTTCAGTTCTCCACTTTGATTCCAGCCCATGACTACAGTTTGCCACCACCCAGGTGGCCTACCATGACCACCCATATCTCAGTCCCATATACTGGTAGAGACTTAAATGTTACTCCTTGCAGAGGCAGGCATTTAAAATATAACCTCATATCAAGGAAGCTCCATGATGGAGGAAAAAGGATCTTCCAACAAAAACAGAATTGATCAGATATTCAGCAAATTTAAGGTATATTCTATGGCTAGAAAAGATTTCTGTTCAGTTTTTGCTAATTTCTACTTTGATAAGAAGGGAGAGGCAATTCACATTACATTTATTGGATTTATCTCTTAGGTAAGAGAAGGGGTTGTCTTGCCCTTCTCCCCTATGTTCTAGCCCTGATTGAGCTTGCTGCTGGCCAAAGTAACCATTCTCCTACTTTCTGCTAACATGCATCCCCAGTTCCCTCTGATATTTCAAAAGAGTTTTGAAAGTCTCCCTTTGTGAGGGTGTCACAGCCCCCTGTAGTGTTAAGGGACCCCTGCACAGGCTGATTTGCCCTGGGCCCTGCACCCCGCTAGGGTTGGTCCAAGGACTTGGCACTGACAGGCAAGGTCCACTGTGTCAGTCTGGTATCTATTCAATAGATATTCAACTGAATAGTTAGAGAAATATATTTTATCAAGCTTTCAGGTTGAAAAATCCTTCATCAGGCTGAGAAAGCACCTGCACTTGGTGTGTGTGTGCTGTTCCTGGATGGAAGAAATAGTAAAGAAGTCAGAGGCTGGCATGCATTGCAGGCAAGAAAGCCAGTCAGTGAAAATGGAAATGGAGGCATCAGGGGATGAGGGACAGTCTGGGGAGGGAAAGGGGGATGTAGCAGCACAGGTAAAGGTGGAGTGGTACCTGGGGAGTCAGATGTCCAGCAGGTTGTAGTGTGTCAGAATTCTAATGTCTATATTGAGTCCATGAGTTTCTGTACCTAGGAGGCTGATGAAGTGAAGTTCATAGGCTCAGCTGTGAAATTGGTTATTAAAATGTAATAATATTTTTAGCATTTCCTCTCTGAGGAGAAGATTGGTGTTTGAAAAGTTTTGTTTCTAAAGATGCTGATGGAACAGATTCCTTACTCAGATTCTTGAAATGCTCAGTTCTGATCATCCTTGTTCACATGTGTTCAGTCTAGGTTGACCACCTAGGAGGCATTTTCTTCTGGGGCATAGTGGCAAAGTTCTTTATATCTATCTGTATGCTTCCTGGAGTGTACATTCCTTGATTTCAAAGCTGAATTTTTGTTATTGAAGGATATATTCTATGTCTGTAATAAAACCATGGGGGACAGCATTTTTTAAATTGAGAAAAAGGGAGGGCAATAAAAACAAAACACCTTGTAATATGTAACTTGTAGGGTGAACAAGAGTTTAAGCAAATCCTGCAAGATACCATACTTCTTATCATATCCTCTGACTGTAGGTGGTCCATTTCATGCATGGATCTAGGATTTTGAAATGGGGGTGCACATAGTGTGGTACATCAACACAACACAACACAACACACATTTTTCCACAGCTGAAAAGAAACTAGAAGACTTTCTAATATGCTAAGGTCTCTGAACTATGCTTCTGTTTAAGATCAAAGCAAAATTAGTGCAACTTTATTGGAATGTGCAAAAAATTGCTAGATTATATATTAAAGTCAACAAACTCGGCTAAAATAGTCAAAAGATTTTGTTTCTTTAGTTCTGTAGTCATTATAGTTAAATGCACATTGTTTACTTAGATTCTTAATACAAAACCTAGCCTTCTTGAGTGTCTTGACAGCACATATAACCCTTCACTGTTACTCACTTCCTCACCTGAGTTAAAATTACCACACCTGAGTTAAGGTTTTTAGCTTGAATTTAAAACAGTCTGCAGGGCTGTGAAATGGAAGAGAGATATTATCAGGAATGGCTAACAGACAGCATAATTGCAGAAAGGATAGTTTGATTAATGGAACATCAAGACCATTAAAAGGAGAGAGGGTTGTTAATATCTGTGGAGTGAACAGAGATTAGCAGGAATTGGGTAGATTATAATGACCCATGAAGTCAGTTGACACCCTCAGCAGTGCCTCAGTAGAAGTGCCACTGCCCCTCCCAGGCAGTTGGCTTTAAAGTCTAGATGGAACAGGACAAAAGGCGGGTACAGTTGTACCACTGCATCCCCTTGGATCTGTCCTGGTCTGATTCCACAAAGTGCTTCGTCATGTGTCTCACTTTAAGCATGTGACTAGGTCCATAAATCAGTGAGAGTATTCATAGGCTAGGGATATGTTTAGGCTCCTAACTAAATCAAGGTCTGATACATTAGCATACTGCTGGTAAAGTTATGCTCTACAACACTATTTTGTTAAATTTTCATTGTCTTGCATTGTAAAGTAATATATCTGTATTTTTGTCTTGCTGCAGAACGGGGATTAAAAGGTCACCTAGACCTCACAGAGCTAATAGGAGTTCCACTTCCACCATCTGTCTACTTTATCACTGGCTATGGTGGATTTCCAGCTTACAGTTTTGGACCAGAAGCTAACATTGGTCGCCTGACAAGGGCTTTAATACCACAGCCTTTCTATAGAGATTTTGCTATTGTAGTGACAGTAAAACCAAACAGCAACCATGGAGGTGTACTATTTGCAATAACAGATGCCTTCCAGAAAACTATATACTTGGGAATGAGACTATCCCCAGTTGATGATGGCACCCAAAGAATAATCATGTACTACACAGAGCCTGGTTCACACATTTCCCGCGAGGCTGCTTCGTTTAAAGTTTCAGTGATGACTAACAAATGGAATCGGTTTACGGTGACTGTTCAGGGAAATGATACGGCTCTGTTCATGGACTGTGAAGAATATCAGAGAGTTCAGTTTCAGAGGTCAGCTCAGCCCTTGGAATTTGACTCCAGCTCTGGTATATTTGTTGGAAATGCAGGAGCAACAGGATTGGAAAAATTCACAGTAAGTACACGATGGTGTTTTCACACACCTAAATGTTTTAAATATATGCTTCCTTTCAGAGGAGTTCTGGTTGCAAGGGCTAAAATAAAGTTAAGTCTCAAGTTGTGCATTTTCTGTTTTCTGTGCCTGTGTGTATGTTATAAGGCCAGAAGGGACTGTCCTGATCATTCAGTGTGATGTCCTGCATGGTATGTGATTTACTGCTTCAGGGAAATCCTTTCTGTTCTTATCACTTTAAAAAAAGACCTGCCATTGATTCTAAAAAAGAAAATTCCAGGGATGGAAAATCCATCATAACCCCTGATAACTGGTTCCAGAGGTTAAATAGCCTCACTGATTTAAAAAGAAAAAAACCCCGTCCATCTTGTTTTTGGTCTGAATTTGTCTAGCTTCAACCTCCAGCCATTGCATTTTATCATACCTGTGTGTTAGCTTTAAGAGCCCTCTATTATCAAATTTCTGTTAAATCAAAGACAGTGAGCTCCTAGGCTCTTTCACTGCAAAGTGCGTTTTCCAGTCTTTTCATTGTTTTTTATCGCTCTTCTCTTTCCAGTTTATCCACACCCCTCTTGAAGCATTGCCACAATACCGGGCACATTATTCCAATGTTTGCACAGTGCCAAATACAGAGATATTATAATCTCTCCACTTCCACTCGGTATTTCCTTGTTTATACACCTAAGGATCACATTAACTTTTTGGCCACACAGATGTATGGGGAGCTCAGATTCAAGTGATTACCCATCATAATCCTTTTCAGCCAGTTCTTTCCAGCATAGAGCAGTAGATTTGTCCCTAGCAAGGGAGCTGTGAAGGTAAATTTACTAATGTTTGTGAGGTTTGTGGAATGCTCACTGTATACTCAGATACTATAGTGTACAGACACTGCAAAACCATGAAAAAGCTCTTGAAGTAATTAATTCCTTATTCAATGCAGAGATTGGATGGTGTACAATAAATCAAGCACAGGGATACAAATTGAGTGATTAAAATAAAAAACAAGACCGAGCAGCCTCATTCTCTTGAACGCCACTTCTGTTCATGGAACGGGCCAAAGATCCTATAGAAAACACTTTGTGTGGAGGTGTCACGGAGTGATGAATCAAAAGGCACACGTACAAGTCAGAAATAAAGATGAATGGAAAACATTCATTATTGCATTTCTTGAGTGCTGAGTGTTTACAACCTAAATAATTTAACCATGTTTTTGTATGTGGCTTTCTAGTAATACTAACATCATGATATAAAAGATTGGACAAATCTTTTCCCGCATTTTGTATGAGACATACTGTCGGTAAACTAAAATTGTGGTGCGTGGGAGATGTCATTATGTTGTTTGGCTGTTGAGGTGTATGAATGCTGCTGGATGCAGTTCATGATGGCTTTGCAAACTGAATGTTCAGAGTGGATCACTTGAAGCAAAACAAGATAGCAGAGTATTCTTCCAGGTCTGAATCTCATGAGCTCTCATTTTTAAGGGAACTTCTTACAGGGCATTGGGCCCATATCATATGGA